ACTTACATCTGATATGTCTGACATTTGCTCCTGCGTTGCATCAAAGAACTCCTCCGCACTGTCCATATCCAAGATTGCCATTGATTGAAGGTGAGAAGCAGCCACTTGCGATCCAGCAATGCTTGAACTCAGCCCCTGTGCTGGAGGTGTTGACAAGTTGGAGGGTGGAAGATGACGATCTGGAGGAGAGAGGAATTTCGCTTGTTCCGGCTGCAAGGGGGAAGCATAGCTTATGGACGGCGACACCTCTGCTGGACGGCTCTCGACCACGTCGGCAGAATGCAATCTGCAGATTTGTAGTCTATCCGATGGTGAGCAGATCCTTTCCACAATTCCCATCCTGTATGGAGAATACACAAAAGGGGAGCTTCCAGCACGCTGAGCAGCGAAGTACTCTCTGATGCCTGCAGCCCGACCAAAGACATGACGCCAGACAAACATCGAAGCGAAACATCGGGACCTGTCACTTATTGACTTAAAGCACTAAGTGACCAAACACAAGGTTGCGTTTAGAGCATTTTTCTCAATTGATGCGTGTCATCCTTGTGCAGGGGCCATGCTAATCTTCTCTTTCTCTGTATCGTTCCAATTTTTACGGATGTCCCGAAGGGCAAGGTTGCGTTTATACTGTACATTGAATTGTCACTTTGTCTGTATTGTCAGGATACTCAGGTATCATTATGAACAACTTTTGTAGTATTCGTCATCCTGGAGCAATCAGCACACCAATGGCAGGGGCCAGCAGCCTAGCTCAGTTGGTAAAGAGCACGGAAGCTGCATTCAGGAGGCCGTGGGTTCGATTCCTCACGCCTTCCATTTCGGACCGGGAAATCCCATGGTCCCCTTGAGGCGCGCTGTGCATTCTCCAGCTGAGATAATCAGCTTGCCCCTCCTAGTTGGTTCGTGGGGAGCGTCCATACCCCTTCCACCCGTCGCTGGGAGTTAGGCTCAACCCTGAGGGGATAGGCTCAACCCATAATCCTTATTGTAGCTCGCTTATGGATCATACATAAAGACTCTGGTGTTCCAGGCTAGGTAGGTAGGTAGGTAGTGGGAGGCATATTGAGAGAAGAATATAGACTAGTTTTTTTCGGAAAAAAAAACAAAAAAAAAAGTTACACGAATGGCAAACGCCAACGCACACAAAGCTTACTGTTTCATTGATGGCCTTGCCTGTGTTTCTGACAGTGCCTTGCAGTTTGCTAAATGGTACAAAGCACTATACATCATGCCAGCTGCATCAAGCTGGGCTCGCTTGGGCCAGACAGCCGCCCACAGAGTACTACCTAGCCACAGAGTGCTGCCCACCCCACAAAGTACTCCCAACCCCACAGAGTACCACCCATCCCAGAAAATACTGTCCAGTAGTTCTTCTTTTTTTTTTTTTTTGTGCCAGGTGTATCAAACTGTGCTCCCTTGGCCCAAATGTATCGACCCGGCAGACTCCTGTGCTTGCTTGGCGCCAAGATACCAATCGGACGGCCTCAACCAGCCCACAAAGTGCCACCTAGCCCGTGAAGTGCTGCCCAGCCTGTAAAAAATACGCCCAGCCCACAGAGGGCTGCCAAGGTACTGATTGGGCGGCCCCAACCAGCCCACAAAGTGCCGCACAGGCTGTACAAAGTACCGCCCAGCCGACAAACTGCTGCCCAGCCCATAAAGTACCGCCCAGTTGACGAAGTCTCGCTCAGCCCATAAAGTATAGGCCAGCCCAAAACCTAGCCCAGCTGACAAACTATTGCGCGACCACACAAAGTACTGCCCACCGCACAAAGTACCACCTATCACACAAAGTACCGCCCACACAACAAAGTGCCATCCACCCCATAAGGCTGCCCACCCTCATACCACTCACCCCACATACCCCCCAGCCCACATACCTCCTACCCCACAAATTACTGCCCAAAAAACAAAATGCTGCCCGCCCCGCATAGCACCACCCAGTGCTCATAAGTCCATAAGGGCCAGAGTGAGGTTCAGCCTTCCATTCTGTTCCCTCCTTCTCTGCCCCATAATAAAATGAACAAATGAATGAATAAGAATCAATGTCAGAAAGATCCCCCCCACTGCCACTGTACAAAGGTCTCTCTTCAGCTCTCCTCCCTCTCTTCTCTCCACTCGTACAACCACTGATCAGGAAAGTGAAGATGGAAGGTCCAAAATAGCCAAACCAGTGTCCTTGTCGTTTCCCTCCTTCCTTCTCCTCTCACCAACTATGGGTTCTTCCTCCTGGCTCCATACCCCATGTGGGCTTTTACTACCTCTCCCTCCATGGCCAGACTCTGTGGCCTCTTCTCCACCTACACTTCCATAGCCACGGAGGTCTTCTTCATCACACTCAACTCCTCCTCCTCCTCTACCCCACATCTCTGCCAATTCTTCCCTCTTGCATCAAATGATAGACATGGTTTTGCCTCGCAACCTCTTTGCCTCTCATCCCAGGTGTTAGCCGCGTGCTACCACTGCCCTGGGCCTACCGGTTCTCCTGTTGGCGTGAGCATCATTGAAGTCTGTGATCCTACCTCATGCTGTTCCCCTGTTGACAGACATTTGACCCCTCCTCCCTATGAAATTATGAATCCTCCTGCTCCTTCCCTATCAGCACCCTCTCGCACCTTCCATAGTTTTGGTGCCTGAAGTCTATCAAATTGAGTAGCAACTACCAGCGGTGTCGGAGGGCGCGGTGTCCCGGCCCTCCTCTGTGTGCCAAGTTTCCACTCAGTATCAGCTTAGCTCTGGTGCCAGCGGCTTGTCAGGTGGTTCCCGAACCTCCACGCTTTGTTAATGGGCCAGGCTATACCCTGCTATGGACCAGTCCAGTTGGCACCTGCCCTCAGCAAAAGGGTGCGCCACTGGACTTTCCATTGGTCCATGCAGGCTCGGCGCCCTGCTGTACAGCAGAGCACTACCGGCCTGTGGTCGTGGTAGCCGCCCGGTTCGCCCAGGGACGCGAAGGTAGAGGGACCGGCTCGGTCTTTTCTACTGCGCGCCGAGTGCCCTCTAACCGGATTATGGGTTAGGTGCGTGGGCTCGCTGTTACAGTCGAACAGAAAAGGGGGTAAAAGAAAAAGAAAGAAACGGAAAAAGGGGATAAGAAGAGAAGAAAAGGAAGTCAAGTGCCAGACCCGCGCGCAGATCTGGACCCTCGTTTTGGTCTGGGACGATCTAATGACCTCTGATCGTGGGGGTGTTATGATTTCTTTTCCTTCCTTATTTTGTTATTATTATTATTATTATTATTATTATTATTATTATTATTATTATTATTATTATTATTGCCAATCTTCTTATTTAAACCTTCCTTCTGTCGCTTCGCGGGAAGGCCAACGGTTCGAATTTCGAGCGTGGCTATGGTCTGTGGCCTAGACTGGCCCGACCTTTCATTTTGCGCCAATGGCTGAGAAGTTCGATCGAGTGCGGCGCGGCAGCCCCAAAAGAGTGCAAGGGACCTGACTGTCAACACTTGCCAGAGTGTAACACAATGCATGCCACTTCACCATTCACACAGATTGTGACTCCACACCGAACGCAGAATGGGGATGAGATGAGAACCAAGACGCGCAGCTCATATTATCTCAAACACATTATAAAAAGTATCTCGAGTTCATGAAACCAGCACTCAACAATCATGATATGTTCCTCTCTCGAACATCAGCTCAACRGGGCCTGGCTRAGCCAGCGCCACCTCTTACAGCAACCAGCGAGCACAGAACAGGTAAGTAATCACCATAGCCAACTTGTCAACCTGTCCTTCTCCTCCCTCTCTCTCTCTCTCTCTCTCTCTCTCTCTCTCTCTCTCTCTCTCAAGATCTCAGTCTTAGTCCTCCTCTCTCATCATACATGCACACTCCTACCACGAAGATCTACTTTGAATGCTACTCACTGCAGACTAACAACTAACCCTCTACCTATACTAATTAGCTGGCGCAGCTATGGCTGTCACTTGCAAGCCAGCGCCCAGCTCTCTTCGTCCTCTCAGCGCAGCTTCTCCTCCAGCGCTTACCCAGCTAGCCAGCGCACAAGTGCACACAGCACTTCCACGCCAGTATGCCAGTGGGAATCTGATGTCAAGGGAGGCTGGCCTATTGTTTTATACTGCTGGCCTCCCCTGGCGAGATCTGCATTGGTCTGCATTGGCACTTTGGGCCTCCTTCAGTCCCAGACCCATGCATATGTGTGTGTCCCAGTATTTTCCCCTCAGGGTCTGCTGCTGCTGCGGCCATTTGGCCTGGATTTCGGACTGGGTGTCTGAATCTAGACCCCCTATTAGACTTATACAGAACTAGGAACCTGCCCTTTCACTTCCCTTTGGACAGACACACATTCTGCACGAACAGACACTCGTACTGTACGAATAGACACTCACACTGTACGTACAGACACATCTCTTGCCTGAACAGACATGACCTGCGCACCCCCTGGACGAACAAATGTGACTCCCAAAACCAAATATTGCAGCTGTTCGTACAGGGTATAACTGTGACCTTTGACATTGGCTTTTACTTAGCTAGGATGTGACTTTTGACCCAGAGAACATGTCCTTTGATCTGCTTTCACGAGTTGGGCCCTGGTGGGTGACCCCTTTATGCTACATTTGCCGAACAGGGTCTGAATTGGGTAAAGGCCCTTTTACTCTCGCCGGCCTAGTTTCGAAGTCCTCTGAGAAATCCTTCATCTATCAATAATGCTTATTCCCCTTCTCGCTCGTTTATAGGCAGATACAATATGAGGTGCAGATTCTAGCAAATTTTCTCTTGTGAACCAGCGATCTTCATTTGAGTCCTGATAAGCGCATCTTACTTTATATTGTCGCTGGGGTCTGCCTCTTCGTCCAGTTTGGAAAGTGCTTTCAGCAACAATCTTATCCACATCATATTTCCCATCCATACTAGGAGGTATCGCTGATCTGCGACTGGGAAACAACTCGTTTGTTACGCAAGGTAAGAGTTTCGAAGCGTGGAATATTGGGTATGTATGTAAATGTAGAGGAATCTCTATAACATATGAAGGACCATCCACATCGCCAATCACATCTAGAACTTGCCAAGGTCCTCTGTAGGCGGGTAGTAACTTCTGAGAGATGTTCTCCTCAGGAACAAACTCTTTAGACTTAACCCACACCAGATCACCTACAGCAAAATGTGAAGGTCTCCTGTGCTTATTTGACTGTTCAATCATCTAATGTTGTGCTTTGATAATGTTTTTTTTTACCTTTTCAATGTCTTTCTGATATTGAATCGCAAATTCGCTAGTTCCTAGAGGAAGCTTATGCACTTGATCCAGGTTTAGTCGATCAATAGGCCTGCGCGGACGCCATCCCAGATGCAACTCCATCGGAGTCTTGCATGTAGATAGATGAACATAGTTATTGTAGGCACTAGCAACTTTAGGCAAATGTTCGTCCCAGTCAATCTGGTCGGGACGGATATACATGCGCAGC